CACAGTTATACAACGCCCGGCCGACAAGGGCCTATTGGTTGAAACATATGTATTCGTGAAAACAAATGGATTGGCAAACAAGCTACAAGGTTATATTAATGCCGCTCCAATACCATTTACACAGGTAAATAAACCAAAATTAACATACAAGATAATCACATGAGAAACCACAAGGTTAATGTACAGTCAGATGATAGTTAATATTTCAACAGCAACTTCATTACTGATATATTTCTTAAAGCTAATAATTCTTCAACCATATTTGGTACCAAATCTACAAGTAGCAGTGATGAAGAGGTAAACAGATTTTAAGATAGCTAGGTTATCGAGATCAGATATTTCACTAATTTCATATGCAATTGTCTTTAAGCTGTACCCATTTTTGTAATATAACGCATCATTTCTTAACATAGCGTAGTTTGGACAGGCAAGTAGATAGTGTTGTGTATCTTCACGATAAACGCCGCACGAACAGGAAGGATCGTTTGAGATATATCTTTCAAATTTATGATAATTTAGATCACTACAGCCTAAACGAAGCCTACAATGAATAATTTGACAAAATCGACTTCCATAATTCCCATCAAATACTGTTAGCTTTACGATGTTTACAAATGCGGCTTTCCAAAGGAGTTTTACGTTTTGAGAAACGGCCAATCTCGATTCCAAGGGGGAGTGTATCACATCTAAATTCTGCAAAAATGCTTACGTCTGGTTTAAACATATTTATTTCCAAAAGTGGAACCGGATTGGTAAACAAGCAATATGCATATGTTGCTAATCTGAATACCGCTTACAAGGATATAAATACGGTATAAATATAACAATCATGAGGAAAAATATGTAACAAACAATAGTTTTCTTCTTATAACTTTATACCTATTAGTGTCGGAAAGTCAGTGCAATTTCGTTTTAACTACATGTATTTATAACGCAAATCTGCCTGACAATACAATGAAAGAATGGATAAATTATAGTATTTTAAGATGATCCATTAGAGTGGCCGTAGAGTAATGAATTAATGTCATATCCTTTAGCATAGAAGTACATTTTATTTCTTTTATCAGTATAATTAACGCATGGAAGGAAATAGTGAATTATATCTTCATAGCAATAACCACAAGAACAAGAGGGATTTGAAGATATAAATCGTTTATATTCATGTGCGTTTAGATTGTTGCAACCGAGCCTGAGGCGTGAATGGATAATCTGACAAAGCCTTGAACCAAAATTTAAATTTAAGTAGTTGTGAATATTATTATTTGACACATTAATTTGTTTCTTAAAACTACCCTAATAAGTCGATTCTCTGTGATCGGGAGCCAAAGACTTCCACAATTTTATTGTATCTGGGAGAAATGACTTGGCATAATTTGTACTTTTACAATCGATAGTTTGAAGTCTCGGAAATTGTAGTTTGTAGTGTCAGATACCTTAGGGGGGCACGAGATTACTCAATATTTTTGAGTTAAACTGTTATTCATTTTATAAAACTTTATTCGTTTTGGGGTGTATCTAACATATTTTAGTATCTTTGAATGTACAGTGGTTGGAAGTTAATTTTGTTTATGACTCGTACCGCGAACAGCACCGCAAATAGTTCTAAGTGCATCAAGATTAAGTTTTTCAAGTGTAAGTGCTTGCTGTTTGGTACAATTGTCCCAACTGTGACGACAATAATCGAAATTAGGCAACATAAATTGTACATTGTTTGTAGGGTTTTACGTGAGAGACGATATTTAAAACCTCTAAGACAGTTTACCATGGGTGCAACCTTTTCAGCGATACAAATAACATGGTCAGTCCAGGAACAATCATGCTGTAGAGTTCCAAAGTTCCAAATGTTTATGACTATTATTGTCATTAATATTACTATCCTTCATTATTTGATTTGAGTTTTGGGCATGGCTGTACTTTAAGAGAAAATTGTATAGAATCCGTTTTATTAGGATTAATTGTAACTTGCCATTCGTCAGTCCCATCAGAAATTTTACGTAGATCATTATTAATGCTATGTCTTGTCCTGTCTCTGATATTACAGACACGTTCAGTGAAGGTTTAAACAAGCGATATGTCTTTAACTTATTTCCGTTACTCTGCTACTTTCTGGGCCATGATTCTTTGTCAACACAAAGAAGTCTATTTTTTACATACATGCACTCTAGTGAAAACTAAATGACGGAGTATTGTCTAAGTCTAGAAGTGATAACTGCAATTATCCAAACATTTTTACAATTGTGCAGTCCCAAACATTTCGAAACTTTAAATGACCATCTTTGTACAAATTTAGTTAGCCTATTTTCGTGATTGGAACAGGGCCTTTTCCAAAGACGAACAATTTCAATTCTTTGTTTTGTAACCTTTGATACCCATTCCATTTCACCCCTTATTGCCAAATTTTGTGTTTTATTATCCACTCCAAAAAAGAAACGACACGCTTTGTTTTGTATGGCATAAATGCAACTGAATTCTTTCGTACCCAAATCGGCGAACCATATGATAGGCTGAACCAGATTATCATGCAAAATATTAAAAACCTCATAATTCATTCCCCCTAAAAGTTTAAATTTACTTACACTAACCCCAAGGGTCCTACTGGCGACATAGCGATTTCCGTAGCTGTAGAATTCAAATCTAAATGTTCCTGTTAACCAAAGACCAAAATATTTGTACGCCTGTACTATTTCTTCATTTTCATCCCCACATGTGAAATTAAAAGTTGGCTGTGCAGATGGGGGATTACGGTAATGGACAATCTTTGGATTTTTTACTATTAATTTGTAAATGCCATTTCTTGTTGCCAGTTGGCAACACGGTTTAACACCAACTGACGTGAAATTTCATCAGGTGCCAGGAAGCAGCATTATCGGCATACAGTAAAATACTACATATAGTGTTATAGACATCAATACCACATTCAGCATATTGACTTCTTGTATCTGGTCATTTATAAATACCGAAAACAGTGTCGGTAACAAAACGCAGCCCTGTTTCACACCGCTGAGTACAGCGAAACTGTCGGTCATTTTACAGGTGGCTTGTAGAATGTTTACACAATGTCTATATTGGTTTGCTTCTTAAGATGAGGGGCGGTGGGGTAGCCTAGTGGTTAAAGCATTGGCTTGTCACACCGGAGACCCGGGTTCGAATCCCCACATGGGTACAATGTGTGAAGCCCATTTCCGGTGTCCCCCGTCGTGATGTTGCTGGAATATTTTTAAAAGCGGCGTAAAACCAAACTCAGTCAGTCAGTCGGTCTTAAGATGAGTATATCGATGTATGGTGTGCTCAGTGAGTGAGTGAGTTAAAATTTAACGTCGCCTCGGCAATATTTCAGCCATTATGACGAATGGTGCAGATTGCTGGCGCAGTGGTTTGTCTCTTGCGTTGAGGGTGGTCTTGGTGGTTTTGTTGGCTAGGTTGGTTGGATACTGATTAACGTTTTATGAAGACATGACGAAGGTTTCAAGGGCTTGGGTTATGGAGCTGATGTTCTTTGCTCTACTGGCTATGGTGGGGATTGTTTAGTTCATCACACTGGACATCAGCTTCCTCAGTCGTATACATATACTCATTGTGGTGCAGCACAAGCTTGATAACGGTGTCAGCAGCTACAATGAACGTCGCATCTATTGCAATGAAGAAGTCGCCAGTCCCTAAAACATGTTTCTCTTCATCATGCCAGATTCTGAATTCTTTTATGACTAACACCGTGTATCATGACCATTTGATAGCGATCCCTATTCACATGTTCATGATGTATTCGTAAGCGTGCAATCGACTCTTCTCTTGTAGAGGTCCCTTGTGGAGGTTTGCATATATTTATAAAGTGAGTGAGTGAAATAATAATATAGGTAGGAGTGGTATTTTTGGTATGTTTGTAGTTATCCTATATCTGCAGATGATATTTAAAGGCACTTCAGCCTTATATACATGTAGGTGCAAAGATTGATCATACTCAGTAGTGTAAAATGCATTGGACATAAAATGCACTTCAGATTGTGGCGCTGCTTTGCTAAGATAAATAGTGCGCGATCAGTAAAATAATGTTATTGTAGGAAATAGTATGTGGCGTAAACAGACTGATAGAAAATGGCATGCACATAATTTGGCTTTAGAGACTTATGTTTACCTAAATAACACCTGATTGAACTTAGGTTTTCTTATGGCTTTACAAAACTTTACTGTTTCAGATAACACTAATCAACTACAACCTCTAGTACATTCTAAATATAATATTTATAACAATTGTTTGTGTGCGTAAATTTCTTAACATTTATATGGGTACATGTCTGTCTTTAGACGTTCAGGACAATTTGTCAGAACTGAAATCTAAAATTTACTGTGAAAACAATCTCTAACTTCCTGAATGACATCTCGTAGACAAGAAATAGGCATCCCCATGGGCACCAGTTATGCTCCCCTCCTCTGTTTCTCCAGGCATATGAATCGGAATTACAGCTCGGGCTGTAAAATCTAATTTGGCCAAGAAGTTGAACTTAAGCTCAAGCTACATCAATGGTCTTATATCGTTGAATAACCATCACAACGCCAATCCCCTTCCCCCAATTTACCTACCAAGACACCAAATATCGGAGAACTGTGATTCCATTTCAGAGGTTCCCTATTTAAATCGATGTAATTCTCTGATTTTACTGCTCCATATGTTTGTACCGTGTTTTATCAGTACAGTAACTGATCTTCTTTAGGTTACGAGAGTGGTCATCTTAAAGGCAGGATACGCTGACGTTTTCGCACACACATTATCCCCGCTATTTGATAGTGATTCCTAAACACATGCTCACGATGAAGTCGAAATCGTACATTCCACTCTACTATTGCCAGATGTGGATTTTTAATGGGTTTTGTCGGTATTATTTTTACACACTTATACACTGATAACATGTATGTTTCTGTCATTGCATTCATATTTATAACATTTGGTTTACTCTTATTAAAGGTTATGCATTTTACACTAATTCGTTTTCGTCACATTTCAGTTTTCACCAGCAGAGATTCAGCAGGTGATCAGAGGGCACTATGGCATCAATCCGTCAGTCTTATGTGTTTCTGCTGGTGGTCGCTGGCGCTTTCACCATGCTCTCTTTTGAACACATAGTTCTGCCTTACTTCTCATACAAGGTGGTTGAAAACAGCGGCTCCGTCGCTTCAATGTCTCAGGGAACACCAGTAGACGTTGCAAACGATAACAGCGGGACTAAGTCGCTCAGATCCGCCCCCAGCCCTGGTAAAACTTTAGTGTACAGATTCAACGGAAGTGAGATGCAGCAGCTTTACGAGTTCTGCACATGGACAGTTCACGTTGACTGTGTTTCTCTGAAGACAACATCTGGAGAGACACCGATCCATATACACGACATCGTGATTGACAAGTATGTTTCTAAGACCATTAAAGTGACGGGATCGTGGGAGCCCGTAAACGTCAATCTCATTTTGACAGAATTAAAAAAGGATCCTGAACTTGGCTTCATGGATTTAGGGTCTCACGTTGGCGCCTTCTCTCTGTCTGTGGCCAAGTTTGGGAGGAAGGTGATATCTGTGGATCCGCTCATAGAGAATGTCAAGAGACTGTGTAAGTCCATTCAGAAAGGTGGTTTCACTGACAGGATGACAATCATATTTAATCCACTAGGATTCAATCACTCCTTCGTAAATTTCAAGCGTGAATTTGGCAACGTTGGAGGTACAAGCGTTGTAGCATCTTCTGGGTCTTCTACTAAATCCCCGTGCGAGGAACCCGCTGACTCGTATACAATAACCCTTGACGATACATTACCCTTCCTGCCATTCAAGAAAGCCGTTTTAAAAATGGACATCCAAGAGTTTGAGTATTATGTTCTGAGTGGTGCAAAGAGGTTTTTCCAAGAGATAGAGGTTCCTGCAATTCTGATGGAGTGGGTACTTATGAAAACAGACGTTAATGGTGAAAAACTGGTAAAACTCTTAGTGGGAATGAAGTACTCAGCATACGCTCCAAGTATTGGCGGCGCGAAACTGGACCCAAGTCAGTACAAATCCTGGCCATATGATGTGATATGGAAGAAATAGGAACAATGTCGTTGCAACGCTGTTGACATACTGATGGTGTAACGGAATTGCTGGAATTTAGCAGAGATTGCGTTTTGTCTCTGTGGTGTTGATTGATTGAAACATATTTTATTCAATTAAGAAACGGATTGGGCCCAAGTTATCCAACTTACATAAGCCCTCTCTACATAGTTACAAGTGTATATTACAAAAAAGTTCAACAAGAGACAGACAAAGGGTATAGATATGTACAGACAGAGTTATTTAAATCGTGTAAGTGTTATGGATGTAGATATGTACAGATTTAAAAACATTCTGATTTTCACTAAGCGAGAGACCTGCATTGCTAATTGAGATGAGATTAATATCAATACATGTTCTATAATGTGATTGCTGTTGCCCACAGACCAGTCTTAATAAAATCATTTTCTTAACCTTTGTCAACATAAACAAACATTTGTGATGATGCTTAATCTTATACGTCCAAAACGTTTGTTAGAACCAGATGAATATCTTCAAAAACAAAAAAATAATTGCCATTAAAATGAATGTTTGTACATGGTCAAAGTGTACATATAATATTCTGATCGTACAAACCACCCATTCTGGTTTGGATTCACATTTCTTGGTTGATGGTTTGCATCCTTCCTAACGCATGCCAAAGCAAGATGGGTCGGACAATAATGGCATAAGAGAACTGAGGTGCTGTCGACTGTCGGCTTTCTGTTAGATTACGGATTGAGTCATGTTTGTGTCACATGTTCGTCTCTTGTCAATATGCTAGTCTGTTTGAAACAGGAAAATAGAAATGAAAAGACGCTTTACGTCACATATCAGAAAGGCTTTTACATTTATATACATGTCACATCCGTCGTTTTCAAATATAGAAATGAATTCAGGTGCTTCCGTTCTTCTCTGTGACTCACATAGTTTGATTGCACTGTCGGTGAGATAGCGAGATAACAGGGAGAGGATGTACTGATGTGAGTTAAGGTGAGAACAGGGAGCGGATGTACTGGTGAAGTAGCGATAAAACTGGCAGAATGTATACTGACATGAGATCGGATGAGAACAGTGGGAGGGTGTACTGATCAGTCAGATAGGATGAGAACAGGGAGCGTGTGTAGTAATGTGAGACAGAGAGAGGACAACGGACAGCCAGTGCACGTCTGAGATGTGGCGAAAGATCAACGGGTAGCCTCTGCACATCTGAGATATGGCGAGTGAACAACGAGTAGCTGCTGCATGGGTGAGATATGGCGAGAGAACAACGAGTAGCTGTTGCATGGGTGAGATATGGCGAGAGAATAACGAGTAGCTGTTGCACGGGTGAGATATGGCGAGAGAAAAACGAGTAGCTGTTGCATGGGTGAGATATGGCACGAGAACAACGAGTAGTGGTTGCACGGCTGAGATATGGCGGGACAACGAGTAGCTGTTGCGTGGGTGAGATATGGCGAGAGAACAATGAGGTGCTGTTGCATGGGTGAACAACGAGTAGTGGTTGCACGGCTGAGATATGGCGGGACAACGAGTAGCTGTTGCGTGGGTGAGATATGGCGAGAGAACAACGAGGTGCTGTTGCATGGGTGAGATATGGCGAGAGAACAACGAGTAGTGGTTGCACGGGTGAGATATGGCGGGAGAACAACGGGTAGCGGTTGCACGGGTGAGATATGGCGGGAGAACGAGTAGCTGTTGCATGGGTGAGATATGGCGGGACAACAACGAGTAGCGGTTGCCCGGCTGAGATATGGCGGGAGAACAACGAGTAGCTGTTGCATGGGTGAGATATGGCGAGAGAACAACGAGTAGTGGTTGCATGGGTGAGATAATGCGGGAGAACAACGAGTAGCTGTTGCATGGGTGAAATATAGCGGGACAACAACGAGTAGCTGTTGCATGGGTGAGATATGGTGGCAGAACAACGAGTAGCTGTTGCATGGGTGAGATATGGCGAGAGAACAACGAGTAGCTGTTGTATGGGTGAGATATGGCGAGAGAACAACGAGTAGTGGTTGCATGGGTGAGATATGGCGAGAGAACAACGCGTAGCTGTTGCATGGGTGAGATATGGCGGGAGAACAACGGGTAGCTGTTGCATGGGTGAGATATAGCGGGAGAGCAACGAGTAGCTGTTGCATGGGTGAGATATGGCGGGAGAACAACGAGTAGCTGTTGCCCGGCTGAGATATGGCGAGAGAACAACGAGTAGTGGTTGCATGGATGAGATAATGCGGGAGAACAACGGGTAGCGGTTGCACGGGTGAGATATGGCGGGAGAACGAGTAGCTGTTGCATGGGTGAGATATGGCGGGAGAACAACGAGTAGCTGTTGCCCGGCTGAGATATGGCGGGAGAACAACGAGAAGTGGTTGCATGGGTGAGATATGGCGAGAGAACAACGGGTAGCGGTTGCACGGGTGAGATATGGCGGGAGAACGAGTAGCTGTTGCATGGGTGAGATATGGCGGGAGAACAACGAGTAGTGGTTGCACGGGTGAGGTATGGCGGGAGAACGAGTAGCTGTTGCAGGGGTGAGATATGGAGAGAGAACAAAGAGTTGCTGTTGCACAGGTGAGATATGGCGAGAGAACAAGGAGTAGTGGTTGCACGGCTGAGATATGGCGAGAGAACAACGGGTAGCGGTTGCACGGGTGAGATATGGCGGGAGAACGAGTAGCTGTTGCATGGGTGAGATATGGCGAGAGAACAACGAGTAGCTGTTACACAGGTGAGATATGGCGGGAGAACATATGGCATGGGGGGAGAACAACGAGTAGTGGTTGCATGGGTGAGATATGGCGAGAGAACAACGCGTAGCTGTTGCATGGGTGAGATATGGCGGGAGAACAACTGGTAGCTGTTGCATGGGTGAGATATGGCGGGAGAACAACGTGTAGCTGTTGCATGGGTGAGATATGGCGGGAGAACAACGAGTAGCTGTTGCCCGGCTGAGATATGGCGGGAGAACAACGAGTAGTGGTTGCATGGGTGAGATATGGCGAGAGAACAACGGGTAGCGGTTGCACGGGTGAGATATGGCGGGAGAACGAGTAGCTGTTGCATGGGTGAGATATGGCGAGAGAACAACGACTAGTGGTTGCATGGGTGAGATATGGCGAGAGAACAACGCGTAGCTGTTGCATGGGTGAGATATGGTGGCGGGAGAACAACGGGTAGCTGTTGCATGGGTGAGATATAGCGGGAGAACAACGAGTAGCTGTTGCATGGGTGAGATATGGCGGGAGAACAACGAGTAGTGGTTGCATGGGTGAGATATGGCGAGAGAACAACGCGTAGCTGTTGCATGGGTGAGATATGGCGAGAGAACAACGGGTAGCTGTTGCATGGGTGAGATATAGCGGGAGAACAACGAGTAGCTGTTGCATGGGTGAGATATGGCGGGAGAACAACGAGTAGCTGTTGCCCGGCTGAGATATGGCGGGAGAACAACGAGTAGTGGTTGCATGGGTGAGATATGGCGAGAGAACAACGGGTAGCGGTTTCACGGCTGAGATATGGCGGGAGAACGAGTAGCTGTTGCATGGGTGAGATATGGCGGGAGAACAACGAGTAGTGGTTGCACGGGTGAGATATGGTGGGAGAACGAGTAGCTGTTGCATGGGTGAGATATGGCGAGAGAACAACGAGTTGCTGTTGCACGGGTGAGATATGGCGAGAGAACGAGTAGTGGTTGCACGGCTGAGGTATGGCGGGAGAACAACGGGTAGTGGTTGCACGGGTGAGATATGGCGGGAGAACGAGTAGCTGTTGCATGGGTGAGATATGGCGAGAGAACAACGAGTAGCTGTTACACGGGTGAGATATGGTGGGAGAACGAGTAGCTGTTGCATGGGTGAGATATGGCGAGAGAACAACGAGTAGTGGTTGCATGGGTGAGATATGGCGAGAAAACAACGGGTAGCTGTTGCATGGGTGAGATATAGCGGGAGAACAACGAGTAGCTGTTGCCCGGCTGAGATATGGCGAGAGAACAACGGGTAGCGGTTGCACGGGTTAGATATGGCGGGAGAACGAGTAGCTGTTGCATGGGTGAGATATGGCGAGAGAACAACGAGTAGCTGTTACACGGGTGAGATATGGCGAGAGAACAACGAGTAGCTGTTGCATGGGTGAGATATGGCGAGAGAATAACGAGTAGTGGTTGCACGGCTGAGATATGGCGGGACAACGAGTAGCTGTTGCGTGGGTGAGATATGGCGAGAGAACAACGAGTTGCTGTTGCATGGGTGAGATATGACGAGAGAACAACGAGTAGTGGTTGCACGGGTGAGATATGGCGGGAGAACAACGGGTAGCGGTTGCACGGGTGAGATATTGCGGGAGAACGCGTAGCTGTTGCATGGGTGAGATATGGCGGGACAACAACGAGTAGCGGTTGCCCGGCTGAGATATGGCGGGAGAACAACGAGTAGCTGTTGCATGGGTGAGATATGGCGAGAGAACAACGAGTAGTGGTTGGATGGGTGAGATAATGCGGGAGAACAACGAGTAGCTGTTGCATGGGTGAAATATAGCGGGACAACAACGAGTAGCTGTTGCATGGGTGAGATATGGTGGCAGAACAACGAGTAGCTGTTGCATGGGTGAGATATGGCGAGAGAACAACGAGTAGCTGTTGTATGGGTGAGATATGGCGAGAGAACAACGAGTAGTGGTTGCATGGGTGAGATATGGCGAGAGAACAACGCGTAGCTGTTGCATGGGTGAGATATAGCGGGAGAGCAACGAGTAGCTGTTGCCCGGCTCAGATATGGCGGGAGACCAACGAGTAGTGGTTGCGTGGGTGAGATATGGCGAGAGAACAACGGGTAGCGGTTGCACGGGTGAGATATGGCGGGAGAACGAGTAGCTGTTGCATGGGTGAGATATGGCGGGAGAACAACGAGTAGCTGTTGCCCGGCTGAGATATGGCGGGAAAACAACGAGAAGTGGTTGCATGGGTGAGATATGGCGAGAGAACAACGGGTAGCGGTTGCACGGGTGAGATATGGCGGAAGAACTAGTAGCTGTTGCATGGGTGAGATATGGCGAGAGAACAACGAGTAGTGGTTGCATGGGTGAGATATGGCGAGAGAACAACGGGTAGCGGTTGCACGGGTGAGATATGGCGGGAGAACGAGTAGCTGTTGAATGGGTGAGATATGGCGAGAGAACAACGAGTAGTGGTTGCATGGGTGAGATATG